CCTCCACTGGAGGACTTGCACTCACCTACTGTTGGCAGGCATGATGGTCAGGTATGAACAGACCTTTGACCATACCGTATTAATAGAACATTAAAAACGGGCAGAATGAATTTCAGGTAGTTAACAGATTAGGAACAAAGTTACAAAGCTATAATTAGATCAATGGAAATAAACGGTTCTGGAACCTGGCGTCTCAAGCAAAAAAAATCAGATCAGAAAATACCTCAAGTATGAGAATGCAAAGTACGAGGGAAGCTCGATGAATCAGCACGTTAAAGTTAAATTAAGAAGTAGCACGTTTATATTTAGATATGCTGCAGAGACTGTTGCATAATAATAGAAAATAGAGCTAGATGGAGATGGCGTGCCGAGAGAATGGGAGAAAGAGGAAAGCAGTGGTGAAGACAAGGGGCAGAAGACGTATCAGCAGGCCAGAGATAAGATACGTAGACGACACGAAGGAAGACTTGAACCGTCTGTGACTCCAAAGCTGGAGGAAAACAGATATGGAAGATTGGACCCACGTCCTACAGAAAGCTGAAAGGTCCTTCATGAGCTGCACTGCCACGAAGAAAGTATGTACTGTATATGTATCTGAAAAAAATGGTATTAAAACATAAAAAATCCATGACTGTCTTCACTTTTTTATTTTTTGTAAAGTGTTTTATTTTTATATAGAAATTAAACTTACTTATTAAGGTTCCCGAGCAGCAAATGTTTTTAATGTTAAGTGCAGCATGCTTAGTGTTGTATTAATAAACAATTCTCAGAGCCGTGTCCTGTGAAGCTCCATTAAACGTTCACTCTGTGCGAATGGAGGCAAAAACAAACATTCTTGGTATAGTTTCTTTTCAGGTAGAATGTAATATTAGGCAAGTACCACATTATGGCCACTAGATGGGGTTGAGGAGCATAGGAAAGTAGTATGTATCTCCTGTGCTCCTCAGCTCCATCTAGTGGCCAAGGTGGTATTATTTTCCTATCATTACATTAGACCTAAAAAGAAAATATACTAAAAACATTTGTTTATACCTCCATTAGCACAGAACGAACGTTTCCTGGTGCTGTTTCTCCAAATTGCTCGTATATACACCCCTAATTTGTATGTGTAAAGCTTCCAGGTACCAGAAATAGCAGTGGGGCGAATTTATGAAAACTGGAGCAGGCAGAATCTGGAGCAGTTACCAACAATCACCAATCAGCTTCTATCTTCACTTTGTTCAGGTAAGCTTTGAAAATGAAAGAGAAAAGCTGATTGGTTGCCATGCACAGCTCCAGATTTTGTACGCTCCAGGTCTATGTCTTTATATGCTTTTCTGTACAGAAGAACTGAGCCGTCTTTGTTCAAGGAATCCCCCAGGGTCAAAATCTATTTCCCGGACTGAGATGTTGGCTCAGAGAATAAACAATCCTGTAAATTCTGGTTGGCTGTGTCTGATTGACAGCTGGCTCTGCTTCTCTAGAGCCAGAGCCAGCTGTGCCCGCCCCTTTCCCTGTCTGTCCCCGCAGTGAACAGTGGAGGAACTGAGAGAGGGGAGGGGGGGG